GAAATAGAAGCAGGGGTGGTATTATTTTGAAAAGAAGGATTTGAAAAGATTGTTATTTTTTTAAAAAAATAATGAGAAAAAAAGTTTGAAAATTTCTGATTAAATGATTCACGCGCTTATTAAGGCGTGAATCTCACTTTTTTGTCACATGTACACAACGTGTTTAAATGGTTCAAATTCAGAACAGTCCAGGTGTTCAATAGGTATAAGTCCTAGTTAAAGTGTTTAAGTGAAATATGTAGACAACTTTAAGGGGCCGTCTATGACTTAAGCCTAGTTTTTTTGTGTAATTTTTTATTGCGTATTTTATAGTATTGAGTAAAAGAATAAAAAAATTTGAAAATATTTATTTTAAGTTAATTTTTTTAAAAAAAATAAGTCAAATATTATATTCCCTCTCTATGGCATATTTTTCTTTTTATTCCTCGTCTTTGTATGCATATTTTTTTTTGTATGCACTTTTTTTTACGTCAGCATATTTTTTTATCAATATTTTATAACATAAAACAAAATATATAATCATCACTTTATAAAATTCACCTTAAAATTTTGACAATCACATTCTAACCGCAAAGTACCTAGATGAGAGCTTCAATTTCATCCATTTCGCTCCAATATGATGTGCAACATCATCTCAAGTCTCAATGCCTCATTGAATTATGGAACAAAGGTACTTTCAGCTTCCTTTCTTGAGTATGAATAATGTTTTGAACTTGCATTCCTGAAAGTCCCACTTAGTCTGTAACTTTTCGATTATTAAACTTCAATATCTCGTTAACCCTATCACATATCTTATCAATCAATACTGTATCATACGTGAATAACATACACCAACACACTTCTTATCAAATATGTCACATCAAACACTTGTATAAATAGGAACAAACTAAAGATTGATTCAAATTGCAATCTCATCACGATGAGAAAATGATGTGATTCATCTTTCACTATCTTAACTCAGATCTTTGTCGTCATCACTCATATCCATGTATTGGTAATTGAGCTGTCAAGATAGGCTGGCCCAATCCAATCCTAATGGGCTAGAGAATTAAATGGGTTGGGACGACTGACCCTTTTAATTAAAGGGTCAATAATATAGCGGTCCAACCTAACCCTAAGCGGGTCACGGGTTGACCATTCAACCAAAAAATAATTAATATTACTCTCTTAGAAGGAGTATCTAAGAGTATCGAATGTTGACGTCCATGAATACGACATCAATACATACAAATTTTCCTTTCGTTTATGAATTACATATTTCAGCGAATACTTACAAGAATACATTTATAAATCTCACACTTCGGTGAATGCTTACCAAAATACATAATAATCAACATAAAATTTAGCGAAAAATGTTGATCATTCAACTATTCCTCCCACAAAAAACAAGTTAGGTTAAAATATGTGTTTTTTTTTTCTTCTAATATATTATTTGATAAAAACTTTACAAATAAAACAATACTATATAACTATATAACTATATATATATATATATATATATATAGCACGCGGGTTGAACTCTGAACTTTGTGGGTTGAGCCTAACAAAGCTAAAGGACCAAGTGATGCTGGACTAAAAAATCCCGTTCCTAAATGGGCTAAAAAAATTAAACATAATCTTACTTAACTCAAGAATTGAACTGGCCTCGCAGATCAATTCCATCTCAAAAGCTCTAATTCCTAATATACATCACATATACACATTTAAACTTCAAACATCATCGGATACCATCATATAAATATTTTGTTTTAGATCAATAGACACCATATACAAGTCTCCCTTCGTGTCACTATACTACTACAACAACCTATTTATAAGATAGCTAACTTTTATAATAAGATCAATCGTAAATCTAAATTGATTCTTGAAAATATGATTAATCCTCTAGGCTATTCTCCGTAACAAAATTCAATATTTGCAAATAATAATATCCAATTACTTAACCTCTCTATTTTGCTAGTAATAAATTTTGATTAGATTAGTCATTATCTAAAATTAATTCCTTTTTTACAAAGTCTTAACCCTAAACCGAAAGTAACGCTCAAACCAAATTAAAACCAAATCACAAAATTAATTAAAATCTCAAATTCATGAACACAATAGCACTATTATCGTCTTCAATGGTTCAGCCCTTAATCATATAGCCATGGACTCCACTCTTCCTCTTTCTCAATCAACCCAAATAACTCAACCCATTTTACCCTCTTCTCCTAATAAACTCCCTATCAAACGCAAAGCAACCGACGACCCCTTTACCGGCGCCGGCGCCGGTGATGCCAATGGAGGAGTTGGAGAAATGGGTTCGGACCCACCATTCAAATTTCATAGAATATGGACTGAACCGGATGAGATCCGGTTTCTTCAAGGTCTACTTGATGGGTCATCGGAAAATCTCTTCTTCCCTCGTGATCTTAATGTTTTCTATACTCGTTTTTCGAATACCATGTCGCAGCCTTATACGAAATCTCAGCTTTCAGAGAAGCTTCGTAGGCTTCGGAAGAAGTTTCGGGTTATTTCTTCTCGTTTGAGTAGAGGGTTAGATAGGTCGTTGTTGTCTCCTCATGATCGTGCTTTGTATGATCTATCGAAACAGCTATGGCATCCTGATTTTTCTGATACATCGCCTTTTAATGCTGAGAAATCGAAGAAATCGAATTTGGTTGGGGTTAAGGTTAGTTTTTTGCCGAATATTTATGACCCAAATCGATATGGTATTGTTCCTTACCAAGATGAGAATGGGTCGAACTGTAATGGGGTTTCAGTGAATGAGGAAGTGGAACAGGGTGAAGAAGAGAAAGAGAATGATGGTAATATTGAGTTTGATGATGAAGATGGGAAGTTGAGTGAGGTGAATGTGGAATTGGATACAGGGGAGATAGGGGATGAACGCGTTGAATTCAGTCGTGTGAATGGTCCGGTTCGAGTTGGAATTGAATTTGGTGTTGGGGATACTGCTGCAAAAGTGGTAATGGATGTGTTTGATGAGTGTTTGAAAGATTTTAGAAATGGAGAAAGATCAAATCTTGGTGGTGTTATGAAGGAAGCAAGCTCGAACGAGTTTGAAGAGAGGTGGAAGGAACAAAGAGTCGCGGAGTTGAATGTATTGGCTCGTCGTATGAGGTTGGTACTTGAGCATTCTCTTCAAAGTCTATGAGTAAATGTGTTAAAAACTGTATATGGTTTGAGTTTTGAGTTTAGATTTCCGTAGTAGTTTTTTTTCCCGCTCATATAGTAGTATTACTACCTTTTGTTCAAGAAATTTTGTAAATTTATGGCTAAAGAAGAGGTTTCTTTTTCATAGGGTGTTATTCTGGCTTGCTACTATTTGATTATCTTTTTATCTCGAAATGTAAAATGAGTTCAGAAGGTATCGGCTTAGGAACATGTTTAAAGAGAATGCAGTAACTAGCCATGTTTCGTAATTGATTGAATTGGTATGCTACTGATTGATACACATAGTTTTGTTTGAAAACGTAGTTACTGGCTTGTTAGTGATGTGTAATTGTACAGTGTGTGTTGATAGAATGCTCGGATGACAGTGGTTGTGCAGGTTATCGATCCTGTTATGTATGACTTGCGAATGTTAGTGTGTTTCACAAGAAGCTGTGATGGCATGAGTTGCGACTCAAGGTCGTTTTATGAGATATTAGGATAGCATATAAACATAATTCACCACACTTTATCGAAAAAAATCAAACATAATAAGTTGAAGTTACAGTAGCCAGAGAAACAATCGTAGCGTTTGGACTGTGATTATGATACCAAATATGCAGTGGTCCTGTTTGTGTGGTTTTAGAGTTGGCATGAAAGCTTAAAGGTCCTAAATTTATGAACATAGTCCCCCGGGGAGTCGTCCTGTACCTCAGGTAACTCAACGAAACGATTTCATAAATGGTATGGTCAAGATATGAATCTTCTCTTCTCTTTACTTCTGATCTGTCTTCCCAGATTCTGGTTATTGTCTTCTGTTCTGTCAGTGGACATTGCCATTCTTTAGAACTTGGCTTGTCTTCTTCCAAAGCTGAGCTAAAATCTATGTTGCTCGGACTGTCAAAAAAAATATTGTCGACATGATGAATTCTCAGAAAATGTATTACTTTTCGAGGATCAAACACGTAGCTAGTGATACATTCAAACTTTTACAAGTGAATTTTAGCGCAAGTAGTCTAGTCATGCAGATCGTGAAAATCGAGAAAGTAGTTTTGTAGAGGCGCAGTTTGTGTTGGACTAATTAACTTTTTAAAATATTTAATCAAACTTCTAAAAAGAGTTTTGTATATCCAAAAAGTTTGATAAAAAACAAGCTTTTCAACTGTAATACCAAAACGCAAACAAAATGAACCAACTAACATTAGTTGACACAATCAATCCAAACAAAATAAAATACCCAAAAAATGGCTCTTTTTACTTGGTCATTATAAAAGAAAAAGTATAAATAAGGAGCTATTTCTTATCTTACTAATCTTCTTACGTTCGTAATGATGGGTGGACCTACAGGTAAGCCAGGGGTTCACTCGAGCCCCCTCGATAAGAAATTACATAGTATATATAAGGTAAAATTTCTGTATTTATGTGAATATATATATATATATATATATATATTTTAAACCCCCTCAACGACAAGAAAAATGAGATAGCCCTGTGGTAGTTTCCTTTGAAACTATGCGTGACGTCCCGGGTTTGAATCCCTTGGCTAACATTTTCCTTTTTACTTTTTGTACTTTCAATTTTTTTTTTCTTTTTTAGTTTCGATTCCGTTTTTTTTTTAAGTTTTTTATTTTAAAAACAAAACATGTTAAAAGTGTGGTTTTAGATCCAATAGAATTCAGGGTCACATTTCCTTTTTTAAAAATTATCGACTTATTTACACATTTATACTTTTATTTTTCGGCCCCTAAATGAAAATTCTGAATCCATCACTTTTTGTAATCCAAAAGAGATCCTTTGAAACAATCTTGGGCAGCAATGGAATTAGGAGTACTATAGGATGTAATGTAAATATGGTAATTCACATCAATTTTAAGTCCAATACTTGCATCAATTCAATCTCTTACAAGAATTTGGTCTATTGTCACAATTCAATTTGCAAATAAGTTTAGGATTTAAACTCTAGTTTGCTACTTATCTTTAAATATCTGTGTTCTTATTTTTGTAATCATATCCAAACAAGTTCAATAATCTTTTTACAAAATTTAAGATAGTTTGCATCCAAGAATATGAAGTACAACTATGTTTTCAGCCCTTGAAATTCAACAAATCTTGAAATCATGAGACATAGTAGTCCTCTTCTTGCAAATTGCAACAAAAGATTACCTTCTAAATCGATATAGATCCATAACTTGAACTTCAAGCGCTAACAACTAAACTCTAAATTCAAAACTTGTACATATTCAACGAATTTCTTAACACAAATACAAGATTCAGGACAATCTTACTAGCTCCAATCGAACCGTACGTTGCCTTCTAGTTCCATTCCTCATTGAAAAACACTATTTTTGTTTCTTATTTAGGTCAAATGTTTGGTACTTTGCATCATCTTGGATAAAACTCCACCAAATACAAGTAAGAGGAATTGTTGTAGCATGCCAAAGTGCATGTGCATCTATTAATCCTGCATATGGAGGAAAGTCACAATTCTCTAAGAACATAGCAACTCCACTCCCAAAAACAACTATCCATATTTTGCTTTTAGATGGATGTTGACTAATTCCAGCCCAAATTGCCCAAATTAGAAGCTGAGCAACACCCATTGTAACACAAACTTTTGTATTCCATCCTGAGAAAAGTTTCAAAATAAGTATCAAATGTGAAGAGTAATATTCATAGAGAAAACATAGATGAGTATAGTCTTATTATGCACATGACTAAAGAAGGGGCGGATTCAGAATTTTGAGTTTATGGTTCTGGACAAATTGTTTATGCATATTAAGCGGATTTTTTTTAACACAAATAAAGAGTTTTGGACAAAACCACTGAATTCTGTCGAATCTGTAACTAAAACTCTAGCTCCACGTACCCCTTGGTTGGAGGTAAGTATAGTCACGTCAGCAACTCACTTTCCATAATATTTTGTGTGATACAATAAAGAAGTAGAAAAAATAATGAGATGGTGAAATTACCATGGTCCATTTGATAGTTGTTGAGGTACAAAATATGAGTAATTGTAAAGGCAAAGAGTGGAGAAGAAGCCAATACTCTTGCAGCCTCATTATTTACGTTGAAACTTCTTAGTATTGATATAATTAGTGAAAATCCAAGTAATGCCACAGCAGATGTGCAATCTAACTTTTCTGTAATTTCCATGCCTCTGTAATAAAATTAAATGAATTAAATACAGATTCTCTATTATTATGAAAAAAAAATATTGAATAACAACTTACACACAGTATAGTGGCGGATTCAGAATTTTGGATGTTTGAGTAGAAAAAGTGGGCTTTGAAATGTACCTATACTTTTTCACACACATATATATTTATAACGAATATTGATACGTTGACCTACTATTTAGCTCATCTTAATCCAAATAACTTTAGTTTGACAAGTAATGGACCCCACCACTTTGTAAGCTCGCACTCATTATAAATTGTCTTTAACTTTATCAGTTCAATCCGTCCATTTGACACCTTAATTATGACAAATAAACTCACCTGCTGTGGAAAACAACACTCCAAACACATGAATTTATAGACAAGAAGCCATAAATATGCCACAAAGCAGCATAATTATAGGATCTCTTCTTATTTAGGTTGAAAAATGACAAACATCCTTGGACATTCTTTGCAAGATTAAGTGCTGAGAAAGCAACTGAGAGAGGCTCCTGGAAAGTCAAGATAATACAATTAAGTTATATACATTGACATTAAAAATTATAAGCTATATATGACGTAAAAATTTACGTATTAAAGAAACCAATAAATATACAAATTAATGGTGGAAATTCGATATTAATAAAACACAATTCAAGTATATCACTAAAAGGATTTGTATTTCTAAAAGTGTATCATTGAAAGGCTAAAGAATCCATCCTAAATAGTAACACGTAACATAACTAACATGCAGGGGTGTACGTAGCATATCTTATAGTAGCAACCTACACCCTTGCATTTTTGTTGTATTATTTTTATCAATCTGTGAGTTAACGTTTATCATAGAGATATATTTACAACTATCTAACAAGTTTCACGATTGTGTAAAATAATTATGACTAACGTATAAAACTTAGGTCCAAGATTCATAAAATTACAAACCTGAAGTCCAAATACTCTTTTTAATGGCCATTTACCATAATATTTGACAGGTCCAAATCCAAGTGAAGATCTTTTTTTCTCTCTTTGAACCATGCAATGGTACTTGCAATCACTTGGACAATCCCTTTGATTTAATTGCATGTATAGAGGCTCTTTTTGGCTATTTAACAAAGAGCCATCTAAAGAATATTTGCAATGTTGTAAGCATATTTCTCCAGCACATCCAGTCTTTTCACATTGCACAATACATGCCCTACACTCATAAAATTCAAAACTTTAGAAGTGGTCATGTTTTAAATAATGTGCTAGATGATGAAACACAATTAAATGAATTCTTGAAATTAATGACTATTTGTGTTTAAACTTGAATGTGAGAAAATCAAGAGGTAGCCTTTTAAAATAAAACTCAATAGTTTTGATTCATATCATGTATATATGTAAAATGATTTAATATGAAACATGATAAATAAACATGAGTATTGTTAACTTGACATCAACTGACAACTATGATCTTTAATTTTGAGTGTATATAAGTAGATACTTAAATGATTTTAGTGAAAAGGACCAAAAGAAATCGAATAAAATTTCAGAACGTTATTAACGCGAAAAAAATAAATATGAAAATGATCCAATATGTTACCTGTACAATGGATCGATATCCCCAATACTTGCATCAAATATTCTGAAAAGACAAGAAAAAGATACAAAGAAAATGACCCAACAAAGATCTGCCATCTTATCACTATTTCAAAAGACGAAATTCAAAAACTCAAATGTCATTTTCTTTTTCATGAATCAAGCACGTCGAAATATGTATGTTTATTGATGATGAAACGCAAAATCAAGAGTGTTGTGAGATTTATATCTAAATCACTAAATTGTTTGACTTGAAACAAATTTTAAAGCAGAAGAAATCATGTATTTGTCCAAGAATAACGTATTTGAAAACGTTTTTTAATCCAAAAGAGATACGTTGTGAGCAATGACAAGAGCTGGAAAATAATTTGATCGCTAATTTTAGGCTTTTTTTATTCGAATGACTGATTATAAGCATGTTAGTAAATGTATTATGGAATAGAGGAAGACCATAAATTCAGGAAAAAAATTAGATCTTGAAGTCATATTGGAACTCATGTGTATATTAGTTATGGGAAAAGTACAGTAAAATTATGATATATACTTTTATAAGCAAACTTTCTCTCTTTTTCTAAAATTACTTTTTATCTTCGATCTTATTTGCTTTGAATTATTCATTTTTTGAGTCGAGGTTTGATCACAAATAACCGCTCTAATTATAATATAAAAATACGATTTGCATACCTTCTATCCTCATAAATTCAATTCGTGAGACTACTTGCTTTTTTATTTTAATTGTGCGTTAAATATGGTTAATAAATGTTACAAAACCAAATCATGTCTGAAAACAGTTGCTAAAGTCCCTTCAAATTTCCGTTGCACCATCATTTCTAAAAACCCGATACATCTGCAAGGAGAAATCATTTTGAAACTTTAGAAAATTATTTGATAAATACAAAATGATTTCAACAACAATCACTATAAAATATGCCACGAAATACTCTTTTTAGTTCATATTAAGTGAATTGTTGGGTTATTACGACACATCTTTTTAAAAAAAATATTTAAAACAGAAATTTAAGGTTACTTACTATTATCCTTCTGATTAATCATAAATTATTCTATTAGAAAACGTAAAGTAGTTTTAAACCTCATCAAAAGGAAGGATAAATAACACTACAACAAAAATAACTTGTAGCGGCATTAAGTCTTTACATTAATAAAGAGTGTTAAAGTCTTTATCGACATTAGTTAAATGTCATTAAAATCAATGTCGTTAAAAGCTTTAGGGACATATACGAAATATGTATTTTTAGTGACACTTAAGAATTACTTCCCGTTAATAATCATTTTTATGTAGCGTAAGAAAAAAAAAAGAGTAACTTTGGAATGGTCCAATGGTTTGGGCTTGAAAATTGAGACTTCTATGTTGGAGGTCTGAAGTTTGAAACCTCTTGGTAATAAAAGCAAGAATATCGCATAGGTTACCTCTTTTATTGGTTTGTGAGGTATTGCACAGGACGCAAATATTATAACAAAATAATTCAGATTTTTTTGCTTTTTTATTTTTCCCTCCCATTTCATTGTTTATTTTTAGTTTTCATTTCCATTAATTACCTGGAGATGATTTTTGACTTGTATAAGTTTGAGATATTTGATATCTATTAGCTCCAATATTGATTGCGGATCAGCCTCTAAAAATAAAGAAAAAATTGAAGATTAGACTTTTATATATATAAGGAAAAAAAACAAAAATATGAAAACAATCATTAAATCGTCAGGTTATCAACAACTTTTGACTTATGGACAGGTTAAATATAAGATGACATCTAAAAGAGAAAAAAACAAAAATATTTGTTAAACTTGTATTATATTTAATATTAATATGAGTATAATAAAATATTTTTAGGTTAATCATTGTTCTTTTCATGAATAGTGCTAAATTCAAAATAAACAATTAAAAGTGGACCAAATAAATAAGGCAACACATGTGAAGAGTGATTATTTGTCTCAGACTTGTAAAATATTTATTCTAAACATTTAAAATTTTGATTTTCATTTCTGTGATATTTCAAACTTGAATTATTTAACGTAAACAAGGAAACATCTCAAACTTGTAAAATATTTATTCTAACATTTAAAATTTTGATTTTCATTTATATGATATTTCAAACTTGAATTATTCATATATAATGTAAACAAGGAAACATGAGTTCACCTGAATCGAATATCACCATGAAAATATCTGTTGTGGTATCATCTTGTGATACAATTTTCTGGAAAATGCTATGGATCTATTCAACATGCTCTGTTTTTTATTAATGGTCTTAAGAAGTGTAAATATATAATAAAGTTGGACATGTCTTTATAATTATTATTGGTCATAATCCAGCTGGAAAATGCACTTATAATATATAAATTTGTTCTTCTAACTTTATATGTATGTATATTATGCCATTAAATAAATAGACATATTAATCGTATGTGGCGTCCTACAATGATAATTTTATATTTTATGTGGCGCTCTATGTGTATATTACGCTATGTAGGACTTGTGTATCTATATGCTTATTCAGCTTTATATGAATTTAAATATCTACTTGTACGCACTCAAAATTGAAGGATATAGATGCTAGTTTAAATCAAGTTAAATGAAATATTATGTATTATATTTTTATTTAACTAAAAATTATATGATAAGTTTTAGTACACGGTCTAAAATCAGAATTAATCAATAATTGAGGGATCAATAATGTTATTCTACCAACAAAAAAAAAGTTGACAATTCCAACACCTCACTCTTTTATAGCAGAGCAGGAAGAGGAAGGTTAACTCCAACAAATTATTTTTGAAAAAATAAAATAAAAAGAGTTTTAGAGAGATGTCAATGAACACAATCACAGAAGAAGATTCAGATTCCTTTGATTCTAATACAAATGCAATCATTTACGGCGTTTATGACGATTCTGGATCTGGTGAAAGCTTGATCTCTGATCCCAATATTCCTTCCTCTTCATCGTCTTCATTCGAAGACAATGACTTCCTACAGCAGCAGCAGTTGATCTCAACTGCTGCTGCTGTTGACAGTGTTGGTACAGTTGATTTGACTGTACCAACAAATGCATCTTTCAGCTGGATTAGGAATAATGATGAGCCTAAGGCAATAATGATATTTAATGTTGATTTCAGGGCAATTTCTTCACAAGTCAATAATGAAATTGAAGAATTGAATTTAGAGTTTTGTGGGAAAAGGGTAAGAGAAGAGGAAAATGATGAATTTTTGGTGAATAAGGAAATGAGAAGAGAGCAAATGGTATATCCATTAACATTAACACCATCAAATTGGTCCTCAATTTGGGATGGAGATGGAAATGGTATTTTTGATGTGCCACCGTTGTCACCACTTTCAAGTTTTGATTGAAGGAAGTACTGGAACAATTTCGATCTTGCAACATTATGAAATATATCCCAAATGTTCATCAAGTTTAGAGCGTTCTCAACACTTCTTCTGGCTTATTTATTAAGAGAATCATGTTTCTACTAAAGTTTGAAATCATTTATTATGTCATGTGACAGATTGAAATGTATATAAGTTTAGTTAGTCTAGAGACGTTTTTCAAGCTATGAATAGTTTGAAAATAAAAATAATAATTTGTTGCGAATTTTCTAAGGGAAGCCCTCGGAAAACTCATGTTTTTTGATGGATCTTCTTCGTGAAATTTCATGTAACTTAAAATTATGGGAATGTTTTGAGTCTTGTTTGCTTTTATATTTCGCAGATTTAAGTTCTTTAATTATGTACAAATAAAAATAAATGTGGAAATTTTGTTTGACTAGTTAATAACTCGAAGTTAGTATTTTTTGTATTAAAAAGGATAATTAAGTGATCATAGTGTAATAAGACCTAAAGGACTACTCATTGTAATAAGACCTAGAGGATGAGAGAGTATTACTTATTGCAATTTCCATATACTTTTACCTATGTATTAATGTGTGTTAAAAGTAAAGAATTCAGATGAACTCCGTTAGAAAGTTGTATTGGCCCTTGTGTGAACGCAAAAGGTTCTGTACTGAAAGACCATTGGGACCCTCTAAACGTGGAAATTATATTATGGTATGAAACCAAGAAAATGGAGAGGAACAAAAAATAATCAAGAAAATTGGACTTCTGAAGAGTTGTATAACAATATAGAGAAGATGTAAATAAGTATCTTCTTGTCGAAATAGTGGTGGAATTAGAAATTTCACAGATGGTGCTCAAAAGAAGCTTAAATTGTTGCAACAAATGAGATTTTAAATTCAAGACCTCCTTAAGCCTAAATTTTTTTAACCCTTTTAACTCCACACTCTAGCTTTTAAGTAACTAATTTAAAGAATCAAATCTGTTCAATTTTGTCATCTTCTCTAATTTTGAATAGCAGAAATAAAAAGTTATAGTAAGTTGATAAAATATGATGATTACAGAAAAATATTATGCAATAGCCAATAAAGAGTTGTAAAAATCCCTCTTTTTCTGCATAAGTGTCCTGTTTCTTGCATTTTTTTTTATAATTTGTTGAATTGAATGTTTGTCTTTCTCTGTGTTGAAGATCCCACATATCATCATTATCAACATTTCCCAAAACTTCTATCTCTCTCAGCCCCACATTTTTGTGCTCAACTCAAAAAGTTTCTGTATGAGCACAATCCTTTTTTTTGGGTCAAGTTTCCCCATTAAACGACAAGTTTTTCTTTATTGCTATAAAATTTGAGTTTTGGGGGTCATTTTCTTTGAAATTTGTGTTATTTTGCTTCCAGAGATTGAATTTTTCTGTGGTGGAAAACAGAGATGACTGGATACCCATGTCCAAAATTGTTTAACTCAATGACCCATTTCAATTTTTTCAAGAAACTCAAGCATTTGAAGCCTATTGAGCCATTGTTAACACTTTTTGGGTTCTTGTTTTTTGTTCTTGGCTTATAATTATTTATCTTCTTGTTAGATTATAGAACTGTGGATACTACTGGTTCTCACTTGCGTGGGGCATTCTTTTTTTGTTACCTGGTTCGGTCTTAATGATTCTTCTTTAGTACCATAAAATAGTAGTAATAGAAGCAGAAATGATGATAAAGTGGGGTTTCTTGAAAATGATTGTGATATATTTGATGGGAATTGGGTGTGGGATGAGAGTTATCAATCAGAAGATTGTATGTTTTCGAATGGTAGACCTGATAATTTCTATACCAAATGGCGTTGGCAGCCTAAGGATTGCCCAGGTTTGTGTTTCAATCAACTGAATACTTGACATCTTCATATACGAAGATATAATGAATCTGTATATCACCAATCTTAATGGTGGCTTACAGATGTTTTTACTTGATCGTTGAGCATTACAAGTGTTATATTTCTCTGGTTATAATCCGTGAATATTTATGTAATTGAATTAGT